TAATAAATTGTATATTCTTTATGTGTATGTGTGTGTATATGTTTAACAACACGTATAACTTATTTCATGCATTATACATGAGTTGGGAATGCCAATTGCATGCTTCTTTTCATGAACTCTATTTTTAATTTAATATTTTTGATGATGGGAACATTTCACAACATTGATGCTGTGGGATTTGCACTTTAGGGTTGGATTTGCTAGGGGTAAAGTCAGTCATTTCAATAAGATAATCTATATACATATAATTTAATTTAGTTTTAAAAATACAAATGTTTTATAGTGTATTGGTATTTATTTTTGGCAATGTGTTGTGTTTTTTTTTAAAAAAATAAAATTTATTTTTCATGTCAAAACTTGTATCTAACTACTGAAAAAAGAAGATGCATAAGGTGGAATTTATTCTGTTTGGTATTTGTCATCCTCTGCTGCGTGTATTTATTAATGTAAATTAAATATGAAAAGCTTTAATAAATGTGAAAAAACCACCCACAAGACTTTTGAATGCTTCACAATTTATACATATATATATATATATATATATATATATATATATAGACATATACATATATATTTTCATAAAACCATAGTACAAAAAATTCTTAGGTATTCCTATGTGACTATAGTTAAGAACCAAAATGTTAAACAATTTTATAAATAATAGTCCATTGTGTACAAAGAAGTCACAAGTAAGGATACAATAGTGTGAAGTTCAAATGCCAACTTAGCATGCCACATTAGGATCTCATAATGAAGATAGTATTTGTGATGAGATGTTGAAAACAAATACTTGCTTCCAACAATATGATAGTATCTTTTACAAATGTGAAGTGGCAAATAATGTCTTAAGAATCATACCACACCATAAAGAGCATTTCAACCAAACTTTGTAAAATTTGGAATAGTTGCATAAAGGAGGATAACATTTGGAAATACTTAGAAACACTTCACTCAATTAACACACATTTTAGTTTTTTTCTTTACATACTTCTATTTTTGTTTTGTTTATTTTGTAAAACTATAAGAAAGTTAAATCTTTTAAAGATTACATTTAAAGGTAGGCATTCAACCTCATGTTATTTGTTTTTGGAGACAAAGCATGATTTTAGAAAGAAATTGAGAGAGAGAGATAGAGAGAGAAATTCAATATTGTTTTCTTCAAAAATACATCTCAAGGTTCAAACCCTAAAAGATGAGAGATTGCAATGGAAGTGAGATTTTACTCTTTTTCAATATTTGACCCATTTTTAGTATACAAATAGAAAAAAGAACTCAACTTTTGGAGAAAGATGGAAAGGCAACTACATGAATGATTAAGAATATATATATAAAAAGTCCCCAAATGTCTTTTAAGGTCAAATCATAAAACACAAGGATTGCAAGAAAATGGTATTTTTGTAGAGAAAGTGAAAGCCTTCTTTGGGAATGGGATTCTAGAGCTTCTTTCTTTCTTTTTCTTATTTCTTGGCTTTTGACCTCATGAAATGTCAGAGTCACTTCAATTGACAATAACAAAAGTGAACTTATCACATGTGCTCAACTGAATGTCTCATTGAAAGATCTATACAAAAAAGTTTTAAAAAAAACACACAAAAAAAAAAAAAAAACAAAACAAAACAAAACAAAAACAAAAACAAAAGACGCCAAACATTATGCTTTTTTGGTGTTGAAAGGACCTCGACATTGGGCGTGTACATAAGGTTTGTCACTTGTTTCAAATGTTTTAACATTCATTTGAAACGTGCCTTTGTACCTAATACAATGCAAAAGCTTCACATGCATTCTCTCCTCAAGATTATTGTATAGCAGCTATTTTTTTTATTTTATTTGAAAATCATACGCTGTTGGTTTTTTGAGTGGTTGTGTGTCATTTCAATGCAGTAAATTTTTCTATTATTCTATTGTGTTCATATTGAACAACTTCAATTATGTGAATGGTGTCAACATGTCATCATATTACATTTTCATACTAGAATCTTAAATGCTTGATTTATGGCCAAGTACTGAAATCAAACTATCAAAAACTGAAGAATTTTGTTTTTGATATTAGAATGGTAAAAAATAATATCACATTTTAAGAAACATCTCATATAATAAAAAAATATATATATTCTATCAAAATTTAAAAATAAACCCTGTAAGAAATGGCTTTATTTTTTTTACGTTTCTTAATTTTTAATTTTTTCTTTTCTTTTGGTATAACTCTTTCTATTTCTTATAGGTCAAATGTTTTTACAAGGTTTGCATTCTTGGCAAAAAAAAACATTTAGAAATTGTGCACTTGCATTGTAATTTTCAGATGCACGTTGGAAAATAACACATTAGTGATTTCAATAAATGTACAAATAGTTATATTCAATTGCATCAAATTTGTTTTTTTACAAATCTTATTCATGCTCTGGTTATCAAACTTTGTTTAATCTTGGTTTAGCCATCCTAGTATTACACTCTGTTTCTATATACTATTGTTTATTTATTAATTAATTAATTTATGATTTTGATTCTAGTGTTTATTTATTCAAATTTTAATATTTAGAAAAATAAAAAAAATAAAGTCATGTTCTTGATAATGATTTTGTAATTTCTTTTCTGAAGGAAGTATGGATATATATATATATATATATATAAATGTTAGTCTTAAAGTTTTATATTTTTCTACTTCAACTTCAGATTTTATCATTCATCCATTTTATCTTTATTCATCTTGGTTGCAGTAGGTCTAAATCAATAAACCTTGCAAAGATGTAATTTTGTGCACAAGCAAATGAATACAATAATAGTGTCACTTAATAAACTACTTTTGTAAAGTAATTGTTTCACTTTTTTGCATATTGACTTTGTTGCAATTCCACAACCATGACTATTATCTAACTGAATACTCCACTTTACCCAATTATAAAAATCAAATTATAAATACTGCAACAAACGGATTAAATCTACCTTTTAAACAGCAATATTTGAAATTAATAGAGGAAAAAGAAGAAGAAAATAAAACAACAATAACAACAATAAAACTAATGTGACAACAAGTAGAATATCAAATGTAAATATTAGAGCAAAGAATGAATTGTGAGCATTATTGATGTTCATTTTTTTTATATTATTTTGAAGACATGAAATTCATTTCACAAGCATGTTATCCTTCAAAAGTATTGCTGATAACGAAATTCCTTTCATAAATTTTTGTTTGTCTTAGAAAATGAACTGGTTATTTTGAAGTTAAAAAATAATAATATTTACAATTTTCATTGTAAGATTATATTTTAGAATTTTATTTTTTCATGATAATTTCTTGAAATTTCCATTTGATAAAAAGTTAATTATAGAACCTGCTCTAAAAATTATGTTTAAAACAAATCATCATAAATGAATAAGTCTCTGTGAAAGGTAGTCTACAAAGAAATAAAACTTGGGTCAGTTTTGGATTTGGCAACACTCTTTTAAATCATAATAAATCTCTTTGTTTCCTCACTTTCTTGTCCACATGATTGTTTTCATATAATTTTCTATTAAAGATCAGAATGTTTCTTTAATATATTAATTATTCTATATTTCAATGCAATTCTATTAAAATAATATTTTAGAAATAAAATGTATATATAATTAACTTGATATTAATTTCAATCAAGTAAATATTTGATAAATTAAAAACAATTGTTTACAATACAATATTAAAATGGTAGAATTGATCGACTATAGAATTACAGTGTAGGTAAGAAATTGCTATTAAGACAATAAATACCATGATACCAACAACAATAATTTGTGGATTGCACAAATGAAGATATTAAGAATATTACTATTGCAAAAAAAAAAAAAAAAAAAAAAAAAAAAAAATCATCTGAGATCAAAGATTAAGATCTAAAAAAAGTGAACAATACAAGTTAAAGGTTTCCATATTGTTTAGCGGGCATGGGTTTTTCTTAATCCCTATCCATTATTGTAGAAGTTGTACCTTTGCATAACCATGGTTCTCAAGTATCATATAAATTGAACTAAAAAACAAATAGAGGATAAATTATGCGTGCTTGTCAAAAGTATCACTATCATGTAGTAGATTCAAGTCCATCTCTTTTAGAATTCATAAGAAGATTTACCAAGTACAATCAGTAGCATTGTGTATCTGCACTAATTTACAATACATGAAGTACTTCTCAGATTAGAAATTGAAATGATTTTATATTATGTTTGTATATATTGTTATACATAAGTTTTCTAATAAAAGACATCATACAGTAGTGGTCAAATTAAAACATTATTATAGTATATTATTGCTTATTATATTTAAAGTCATGTTTCTTAAACTTTCTTTTGGGCTTTTTATCATTCTTCTTTAGTGCCTACATATAAAATTAGAGATACTTGATACTTTAAAGAAATTACAGTTTTAAACTCTTAGAGAATTCTTTTTTTAGGTACAAATATTCTATTTCTATGTGGAACTATTGTGACTTGCACTTATCATACTATAATAGCTACATTCAAAAAACAAGTTATTTTTGCTTTAAAAACTACCAAACAATTATTAGATTACCAAAGAAATATTTTGATTGTTAACCATGAACACCCAACAAGAGCTTTTAATATGTTATAGTCATCAACTATAACTCATAATTTCATTGAAGCCAACAACAATAATTAGACTAAACACAAAAACAATAACAAATGAATACATTCTAATGTATATAAATATATATATATATATATATATATGTGTGTGTATTTCCTATCTAAAAGACATGTTAAAATTTAATATGAAGAGTTAATTTAAAATAAGATATTTAAATTAGTAAGAAGCAAACATAATAAAAAAATCTCATGGTTTATCATTTTCTGTAATTCACGAGTTTCAATGTGGATCCAACCTTGAAGTTTAGAAAGGAAGAAAGAAAATCTTGGAGAATCTGAATAGAATCCAATTTCATTACACCCAGTAACCTGGTCATATGTAGAGAACGATGTTAAGATCCATCTGCTTGATGTGGCCAGTGAAACAACGGTTACGCATCAAACCTACAATTGAGGTCATATCCAACACCACTAGAATAAATACGGATACAGAGAATGCCACTGCCTTGTGCTAGTCAGCAATAGTTGTAGGAAACAGTGAACAAAACAAGTATGACACGCGTGCACATCCACATCGTACTTAGAACTAATACAACTCAGTATACTTCACAGAATCTAGGAGTTGTACTGTGTGAGGTATTCTGCCTACTACTAGTCCTGCCGTTCGTTCACTGCACCGAACTCTTTTCCCACCTCACTCACAACCTTCGACAACCATTTATGCTTTGTATGAGAAGCGCCGAGGAGACACTGCTAAACTTCAGGCTCCACAGCTTATCACCTACTCTGCTCTACATCTTCTATGAGAATACGTTCGACATTCATAAGATCGTATGCGTCTATGGATGAGGTTCTTGCTGTAAATGTGCAATAGGATTATGAATAACAGATAATGGTCTGTGGCACATCCTTGCATTTCCACAGATTGGAAATAGTTCTTGTATGTAGCTAGTTAGCTTGAATCAAAAGAGGCATACTTGCAACTCTGTTTTAAGGGAAGCCACCAGTGGGAGCATTGCCCCATACAGCATCGAAGTTGGATCCATCGCCACCAGGACCAGGCAGAGCTGGTGGAGGGGTTGCAATCTTTGTACGAGCTTTGCTCTTCACACCAAGCATTCGAAGAACAAATCGAGCAAGCTCTCCATAAAGCACTCCAGCCCGGTCGAACAACTGTTCAAAACAAAATAAGCATTGTTAGCATTCATAACGACATCAATATAATCTTGAAGTGGATCCCGACATCATTGCAGCAACTTTGCAACCAACATTACAAGAACAAAAAAAAATAAAAAAAATACTATGTCTCAAGTTCGAGATGACATGATGGAACACACACAAAATAATAATAATAATAATAATAATAATAATAATAATAATAAACGCAATAACGTGCACGTACTTGGAGCAATGCGGTTATAAAAAAGTGCAATGCATGCGTGTTCTCGTCCACGAGCATAGAAAGTCTTCCAAAAAAGGTCAAAAACCCATTCAACTGCAAAAGCCACCAGTGCGGTTTCAGAACCAGCCCGCACATGTTTGTGCAGTCTTAACATGCACAAAGGCACAGAGTCTCGTTTACAACGACATTCCAAAATATACAAGACTGCTGATTTAGCTCCTTAACTGGTAAGGACATTAGCATGGCAGCAATCTTTATCTCACAATTGTATATACCCGGCAGCTGCCCATTACTTTACACATTTCTCTTAGCCTACACACGTCGTTAAAAGACATTGCAAAGACCACCAGAAGCAACACACAACATCAGTCAAAAGCTGCATACCCCTCGAAGCATTTGCTGCCAGAAGTTTGGTGCTTGAGGGGGTTCTCCTCCCATCGGATTATTCGGATCACCTTGGCCTCCATAACCGTAAGGACCCATGGCTCCTGGCCCACCCATGCCACCATATCCGCCCATCCCTCCCCCGTATCCTCCCATACCCCCATAACCACCCATCCCTCCGTATCCACCATAAGTACTGCCCAAACCTCTATTGTACAAACCACCCCCATAACTACTGCCTAAGCCTCCATAACTGCTTCCATAACCCCCCATACCCCCATAAGAACTTCCATATGTACCACCATAACCTCCTACACCACCATAGCTGCTGCCGCCATAACCACCCAAGGTTGAACCTGAGCCGTACATTGAAGGCCTATTGTAACTGTTCACCACGCCCCCATAGCCTGTGGCAATCAACAGACATTCGAAACCCCACAGTTTGAGCATGTTATGCCTCAGCTAAAACGTATTACCAAAAGACATGGAGAAGAAGGGAGCTTTTTTTATTTTTTATTTTTTATTTTTTAAATCAACATATAATATGATATAAAGTAGGAGCAAAAACAATAAAGTCAGGTCATAAAATAGAATCATCAAGGGCATAAATAAAGAAACCGCTCAACACATACCATCTGGTTACAATAATTCGATCGTTGGTGTTAAATTGAACGAGGAATTTAGAAGCAAAACTGCTTACCAGTAGAATTCTGCTCCCATGGTCTAGGAGGATTCGGTCGCCCAGCAACTGCTCCTGTTTGATTCGCAATCCCATTTTCGTCAAGCTTTCCAGCATCAGTAACGCCGGCACTAGAAACAGTCGCAGCAGTGCTGGTGGTATTTGAAGAAGGTGCAAATGGGGAGGGTCCGCTAGCAGCGCTGCTGGTTTGTGTTCCTGCGCGTTCCCAAGGCTTAAGAGGAGCTTGACGCCCTGCATTTAGGGAAATTCAGCACGTTAGTACAAGTTGCTGATAAAATATCTCGTGTAAAAGACATAATCACACTTGAACATAACCTTGGATTGAATGACACGACTTTAAGATTCACACTCAACAATTAAGCATTAATGCATGTGGAAATGCACTTCAAAAATCGACTAAAGATGGCCACGAATAGACAAAGTTAAATACCACTCTAAACCACTGTAACTTGAGCAGCTGAAATGTATACAGCTTAGACACATATTCCCATAAGTCGAATAAGACACTGAAGTCTTCAAGTCTGAGCTAAGTGCTTCTTATGAAGCTTGTTACGAGCTTAGTACTTCAACTGACAAATCTTGAGTTGAGCGCATGCTTTGTGATGAGAAAAAGAAACCAAGACATACAGATCGGAAAACATACACAAAACTTGAATGCAATTACTACCCTCTCGCAATTAGGGAAAAAATTCATTTCACCACAATTGCGATATAAAGCCACCCTTTCCATTATTCTATGCTGGTACTGGAAGGCATGAAGTGTGACATACTTCATATCCCTATTCTACAACCAAATACTGCAGAAACGTATCTGAACTCATTGTCCATAGTTGAAAACCGAACGCCAACAAGTGAACTCAACAGAAACAATTATAATTAACACAAAGAAGAATCATACGAGGAAAAGTGTGCTGACTCCGCAAACACCAAAGCTATATGAACTGAAAGAAGGACTACTGAAGAAATACTCCATACAATCAACGACAACACGTCTCCAAACCCTCATCGCCTTACCAGCTCTCTATTGTACAAGCAAAGCTGCAAGAAATCCGAATAATCTAGAGACAAGGAAACCGAGCACCAAAAGCGCTACTGACACTTCGCACAGACTAATCAAACATAAGACTTACGTACATATTCTAGATACAAATAAGAAAAAATCAACGTACAAAAATCAAACCAAGCCTCAGAGTCAACGACCTTCGGAACAACAAATAAATAAATAAATAACACACACACACACACACGAAAAATCAGATTATTAACTTCAGCCTACCATTCGGGAACTCTACCTGCGGCAGCCATCTGCGAATTGAACGCTCCACGGCAAGAATCTCATCAGAACTCCACGATTCGACGCATCACCCAACACTTCAATTACACCCACCCTGCCCCTCAAAACTCACCGATACCACCACCACAACCTCAAGAGTACCAAATTATGCGACGTTTACGTCAAAATTCCTCTGGAGACCGCGATCTCGCAAGTCCACGAATCTCGATGCGTGTGAACCCTCTCATACAGAACCCTAAGACTTCGTTATGGCGCTTAAAAACACCAAAATGGCTCCGGAAAACGGCAAATCCTGTGTAATCCACGAAGAAGAAGCGAGAGCCGGAAGTGAGCGAGCATGCGAGGACGCGTAGAGAATAAAACGGAGCGCGGTGATGGTGCGGTGCCGGAGTGGGTGCGATGAGAGTGAGCTGGTCGAAGTTCGACGTCGCGTCCAGTTGTGTGGCGGTCGCAGTGCTTGTTGCACCGTGGACTTCGGTGGCCTCGACGGGATAAACGAATGATATTCGAAATATTTCATCCATATCCCCCTCTTTCTCGTCGTTCGCATGGTGACGTGGGTGAACGAATGTCGTTTCTCAATTTTCATCTTTCGTTTGTTCTTTCTCGTCTCGTAGATGAATGATGAAATGGATGTACGATGGATGTTTTTGTTATTGCTCAGCTTTCGTCTCGTCGTTCTCGTTATTTAGATGACGAACATCCATTCTAACTCAGAAACCGTAATTTTGGGAAATTCTTAATTTATCTTTTTCACTGATTTTTTAATTAGGTTTACATATTTTTAGATATTATTAAATTTAGTATATGTAATTATCTGACTTCAAAACTTTTTATTTTGTTTCTGAAAGAATTAATTTTATATTAATTTCAATACAATAATAAAAATAGAAATCTATTATTATATATATTTATTATATATATATAATTTGAAAAATTAATTACAAAAAATAGTAGAAAAAAATGCAGTTTTGAAAATAAAATGTTGCATATATGTATGAAATGCCACATAAGCATTGATTTTTTTAACAACAATTCAAAACATAGTAAACATAGGTTTTCTTAAATTTTTCAAAAATATTCTCCACAACATATGCAATTTAAAATCAGAGATCACTTTAAAAATAAGTTATGCATAAGTTTATATGCTATGCTGGATAGATATGAAAGCTTGACGATTGTTTTCTTTTTTTCTTTTTTAATGTTTGTTTACGAGTGCTTCATATATGTAAAAAAATTGTAATATTTCATTATTCCATATAAATGAAATTTTCACATGTGTAAGATAAAAACAGTCAGTTAAATGTTGTAAAAATATTTTTTAGCAATCACATTGAGCTCAAAGATTTTATTATATTTTTGTTTTTTTATTTAAAATAATACAAAGTATAGTATTAATAGTACTTAAGTCACTAAGAGTTGTAAAGAGGAAAATGTACATTATAAATATACCACACCTGCAAATACACATTATAATCAAAACAAAATGTTGTTATTTTGTTGTTCAAAACTTCCTTGAGATTGAAGATGTTTATTTTTGTTCATAATTATATTTAAGCGTTTAATTATAATTTTATGATATTCAAACCAATAAAGAAATTAAAGTTTAATAAAAATGATAATAATTGAATATTTAAAGAACGTTAGTGACAAGCCACCACATTGGCTCCTTGCCTAAAATAAGATGCCTATTTCAATTAATCAAGATAGAGGCCATTTATTTTATTATCTATATATATATATATATAGTAAGAGAGGTAAGACTTGATTCTTGAGTACTGGTACTTTAATCAAGAAATATGAGTTTAGAATAAGAGCGCCAACAAGAAAAAAATAAAAAAAATAAATAAAAGGAAAAAGGAAAAACATTGAAGGAATGTTTTTTTTATTACATTTTTTTCTCAAAAACAATCGAAACATTTTGTTGTATGAATATTTTTATTTCAAAATTCATCTTGACTGCTAATTGTCTCTGATCGAAGAAAAATTTACTTTAAAATTTCCAGAATAAATTTGATTTTTTTTAAAATCATCTTTCATTTGCATTAATTTTTTTTGGATTACAACACCATCAATTGATAATGGTTGACAAGTTGTAATTTTCTAAAAAGAAAAAAAAAATAGTAAAAAATATGGATATTTTAGTTTTATAAACAAAAAATTGTACTATTTTAATGAGGGGCTATATTGTTGAAGAGAGCTTTGTTCAATTGAATTTATTGGGCTTTTAACATGATCATTTCAAGTATATTACTTAAATAAATAAGCTTATACTTACAAAGATAAGTCTTTGGTACAATAAATTTTTTAAAGAGGTTTTAGCTAATCTTATTATAATTGATTATTTTTTTTAAAAAAAGAAAATATAAAGAATTTTTATTCACATTGCAATTAAAAGTTGTGGTCATATATTATTATAAATGTTACAAGTGGCAATTAGTTGTGTTAATATTATTAATAAATTACATTACTTTGAATTTTTTGTATAATTATTTTAAATAAATTTAGATATTTAAATTATCAAAAATTCAATTTTATCAAGTTATAATAACTAAATTAATTCACAATATTTAATACTTTATTTAGTATTAAATAGCACAAATAGAAAATATTAATAAAAGAATAAAAATAAATAAATTAATACAATTTTATTTTATAATTGGTTCAATTTAAGTAATTTTTATTATAATAAATTTGTAGTATCTGACAAGAATTATATTGCAATAAATAAGAAAATTATCAAAAAAATAGATGGATCTAAACATGTTTGAAATAAATGTCAATTTTTAATTGTATATCTTTAAAAACATATACACAGTAAAAGTATTGTCAAAATTAGATCCTATCTTCTTAGTGCCAATTTTTAATATATATATATATATATATATATATATATATATATATATATATATATATATATATATATATATATATACCTAAAGATGTAAGTATTTTTGGTATTTTGAAAATAAAAAACATCAATATTTTTTTTAATCATGAAATTACAAGTAACAATTATTGAAGAGAAAAAATAAAGAAAATTCAAGATTGCAATTAATAACAAGTATGCAAATTGATGCAATAGAAGATAATGTAATGAATGCAAATTCTTTGATATTAAAACTATAAATAATAAGAAATATTTGTGAACAATAAAAGGATTAGGAAGCCTATATATATATATATACACACACACAAAGAAAAGATATACCCTTTGTAATGATTAGTAGTTGTTAAAAATATACTAAAGCATGTAAATTCCTACCACTTTATGTCTACAAAAAAACTTCAAGTAGAGTTATTAATCTTCCTCACTATACTTAATTAGTATTATTTTTATAATTATTGTGCATTCTATACATTTTGAACCTATTTTTATTTCTATTCTATATAATTCAATCACTCTTATAGAATCAATATGAGTGTATATTAGTAGAAGTTATATATCTTATTATAGAAATTTATTTTAAATGTTGAAAAAGATGATAGGTACCTGGTTTTCAAAGATTGTGCTATTATAGACTATACTTAATTTATTCTAAGCCATATTTTAGACTATTATTATTATTATTATTATTATTATTTAATTTTCTATTTAGAATTAATGCTTAATTAAAATCTTGGCATTTTATTTCTAGAGCTTTAAGAATTGTTTGTATTAAACTGTAATATAAAGATGTTTTTAGATTAGACTCACATAGATACATTGTTCTAAAAATCCACTTATAAAGTAACTCAATCAAAGTTTTTAAATTTATTTTTTTAGATCAATTAGTTCTAATCTACTTCTCTTGATTAATTATTAAAAATTATTATAAAGCAACTTTTATATAGATTGAAGATTGGAAGTTACTTCATACATACACTTGTCTTCTTCATGAAGAAAAAAATGGATCCATTTAAATGTATATAGAATGTTGTAGACTTAATAAATTAAACATTAAAGAATTTTATTTTTATTTTTAATATTGGAGCTCTTTGATCAACTAAATAAAGTTAAGATCTAAATTAAGACAATTTTTATAAAGAACCTATAATCTAATACATATAAAAGAAGAGAAAAAAAAGAATATTATATTACATACTATATAAATATTTTAAATATATTGTCATACCTTTTGGACTTACAAATATTTAAGTTATTTCTTAGTATATAATAAATAAAATATCTTATTAATTTATTTATATATTTTTATGTTATTTAAATAATACTCATTCTAAGAATATAATAAATATAAATAACATGTTTATTTATATTTAAAAAAATTAATTAAAATTAATTAAATTTTATTAATTTAAATATATTTATGTAATTTTTTGACATTTTAATTAGATTTTAATAATCAAATATGAAACAAATATTTGAGATTATTTTTTTATCATATAAATCATAAATATATTTCATTGTGAAATTTAATTATTATTATTTTATTTAAAAATTTTAATAAATTATTTTTAATATTATTAATATTTTATATCTAAAAAAAGTAGCATATAATGTATGTATGTTCAATTTAAGTTTATTTTTTTATTTTTTATTTTTTTTATTTTTAAATTATAATATTATAATATTTTATTTGAATATTTAAAAAAATTATTATGTTTTTTTTTCTTACATGTATAGAATTGCAATTATTACAATTCTTAAGAAAACTTGTTTGAATTCTTTAGGATTTAAATATATTTTTAGATAAAATATGATTAACACATATATTTATTAAGATTGCTCAAGGAAACAAATGGTGGCTTTCATTCACCACATGCACTCCTCTTGTTTTTTATCAAAAAACTTAACATTGTCTAGAGTTTAAAACGAAGTAAAAGCTTGATCAAAACTCAAGTAGAATTCATGGAGAGTTTAGAAGGCTCATTTTTGTTTTACAATTTTGTGACTAAATGCACTCAAGCAAAGTTCATAGGGAATATATATATATATATATTTTGCAATTTTACAATTGAAGCTCAAATTTTTTTTCTTCCATGATTGAATGCAATTGAAGGAGAAGTTCAATAATTCAGAGAAAAGTGGGCAATTAAACAGCAGCAAGGCTAGGCATATTTTGTGAGGGATAATAGAATTTTGTTAGGTGCATGTTTGACCTTGATCTTTGAGTGTATTGATACGAACACAAATGGCAATGAGGCATAGCCCAATGTACAAGTTTTTGTGTGTTGTATTGTTTCTACTTCAATGGTGTTGGAAATTGATTGAGTGTGTTGGGTGATTACTTATTTTTGGTATTAAATTTAGGTGCAAGATAAGGAGAATGTATTGGTAAGCAACATTTGGAGTGAGGGATGTTAGACGTGAATGTGGAGGTTGTTTGTTGAAACTATTAACCGTGCATTCTTCCATGTGACAAGGTTAGAAATATTGTCTTGAGTCATGCAAAATTTCATTTTGGAACCATTTTGATTCAAATCAAATTCTAATACAAAT